GCTATGGTTTAATGCTCCCCAGGAATGACAGATCAGGCTTGGGGGTTTTCACTGAGCAAACAACTCATAGAATTCTCCAGTACAGCTTTTTACAATACAGACAACAGTCCAGTATTTGTTCTGTTATCTAATTTGCTCTATATGGGGCTAAATGAAATTTAGGCAAGGTTAAAATCTAGGCACGATGGTCAGCGGAGGACATGCTGCGGGGCGCCCCCTTTGCAATTGCAGGGTCACAAGGTTTTCAGTACGTTGTGAGATCGTCGCGGATCCTAACGTGAGCCGCCTCTTGTGCTGAAATATTTTACCGTATTCTCCGCTTTCGCCCCGTTTGGAATAATGGAAGGGCGTCAGACTAGAAATAGTCTGTCCGCTGCCTGATTTAGCGTCAACGAAGGCCATCCAACATCGACTGTTGCCTCCACGGTAGTTCCGTCTTCATCAGCATCTAACACGCCACCTCTCGTAAACTCGCCAAGCATGCCGTCGGATATGCTTGAAATGGTTAGGCTGGTGGCTTCTCAAGCAGCTTTAGCGGCAGTAAATTCATTACAGGGCTGCTCATTACCATCCAGCACCACGTCAACTACGACGAACGGGAATTCGCTCGCTACGGGAATTCCACCCTCGTCAGTGTTGAATCCATCGGTGGCCAACCACGTGGAAAGTTTCCTGGCAGCAGGTTCTAGCTTGGGATTCTCTGAAACGACTTCGCCCATCTAGGCTACAGGTACGTCTGTTTCTTATTCTGTACCGGAATTTTTGAGCACGTTCTCTATGCTTACGACGAATTCTACTCCGGTTAGAATGGCGACGCCAATGACGGTCAGTAGTTTCCCCTCGCTTTCATCGAGTTTGTTCGATCAGCACTTCGTTGTTTGCCCGGGGTTTTCTCCGATCCCTCCAAAGATCGTCAATCAAATTCTGGCGGGCAAATTTACCGACCTGAGCGAGCTGCTCACGCCAAAGCTCCTCCAGGCGCAAACCGAGCCACAGTTGTTGTTTGACGGCAGAGTAGTTCTAGCGTCGAGCGGCAAAAAGCCTCGCCATCGGATCGAAGACGTCGTAAGTTGGGTCGAAGCGTTTACAATTTTCATGCTGGTCATTGCATCGTCATTGCCGCATCGGTGGCGTGACCTAACGGCATATAAGCTCTTAATCCTACGCACGTACCGCCAATTTGGTGACCAAGTTTGGCTCAACTATGACCTAGCGTTTAGGCAGCATGCCGCCGCGACAAAACTGACTGACTGCTCTTAAGTCTGTAGTTGGAGGGCATATCCTGGATTTAGGTTGAACAGTTTATCATTCATGTATATTTCTTTGTGTCAATCTCTGTCTGGACAGAGAAAATTTCCATTTTTCTGATAATTTTCCGCAAAAAGGTTTGGACACCCGATACATTTCGAGAACCAGTCCATGTTTACCAATTTAAGTGATCGTTTACAGCACCATGACTATTTTGATTTTTGTTAGGCTACTTCTGATCAGTTGCACCCACGCTACTAGTTGCAACCCGTCTTCATAGGCAAGACACTGGTTGCATGGTATTGCCTAACAGTTTTGTCCGCGGATAGGTTTGCACACACTCTACAGGTCTAAGTCATGAGATTTTGTGACGGTTCCATAGGCTTCTGTGTGTCACCCAAATATTTAAGAGTCAAAGAGGGGAGGAGGGAGGAGGAAGCTGGAGTTTATCTATTGTATTATACAAATAAACTCAAATTTCCTTTTGAATGGCTTTGTTTTAAACCCTGCAACGTTCGTTTAAAGGCGTCTCTCTGTACAGTAGTGTGAAATATGAACGGATAAATGCATTACTTACAATACAGTTAACTCAGTGTTGTTATCGAAAAATCCAGGTGGTAACCCTTTTATTTGATTGAAATTAAAGTAACTACGAACAGGATATATTCTTGATCTAATGTATTTTCTGGGTTATTAAAACTAGGCTATTTAAACTCTAATAGAATTTAAGAGACCACATCATGCTTTCATTACGTCAGGTAAATAATGTAAACTTACTTCCGGGTGATTTAGTAAGGCTTCCGGTAACCAGCAATTTTTCAAGCACATAAGTATAATTAGTTTTTAAGCTTTACTCCCGATTTCATGTTTCATGAGCCCCTAGGCAATTGAAATTTGGAACCAAAATATTGTAACTACGCGAGCTGAGATGTTTTATACATGTAATTAAGTCGTTATAAGTCATTTAAAAATGTGTCTTGGAATAAGCAATGCATGCTTTTTACTCATAGTCGAATCAACTTGGTGTTGTAGCTGAAGACTCCACGAGGTAGCTCTGCTATCTGATTGCTGTATAAGTACCTACGCAAAGAATATACCAAGAATTATAGGTTTTACCTAGGTTTGTGAAGCAATCACTCAG